ACAACAACCATCAACAACAACAACCATCAACAACAACAACGACTATCAACAACAACCATCAACAACAACAACTATCAACAACAACAACTATCAACAACAACATCTATCAACAACAACAACCATCAACAACAACAACCATCAACAACAACAACAACCATCAACAACAACAACAACCATCAAAAACAACAACAACTATCAAACAGCTCAAAGTGTCCTACGCCAAGCAATCAGATGGTATTGCACCTCATATAATCAGACGTACAGTAACTGACCTTACATAGCACGAGGTGTTATCTCAAATATCATACATAATAATAATAATAATACATAATAGAGAGTGCGATAATACGCCGCTGGGATGCAAGTCTCTACACACAGACTCATGTCCTTCCCCGAAAGTAAAATAGCATAGAAATAATATAGATAAATCTATATTATTTCTATGAAAATAATACACTGCAGGGAAGGTGTCACTACGTATTATCATGTGCTCTTACAAGGGTACGATTATATTGTGTAAGGGCGCAGATCTCTGCTCGGGGAATCGTAGGCTACCCCTTACAGACCCCTTATTACAGACAAAGTAAAAGAATCTGAACACAAGGCATATAGAGTTATATAGGCTATATAGTGTACACACAGAATCTTGAACACAGAAAGTGAACACAGAGAATATAAAGTTGTATATATATCAGGAGTAGATAATAGGGAATTATTATCTACTATCTACCCTTATTATCTACCTATTATCTACTCCTGATATATATATTGGACACACATAAACTTGCTTACAGCTACAGGGAAGAGCCGGCAGAAGTAGGTAGACCAGTCTCTTGCTTCCTCTACGACTGCTCGCTTCACACTCGTGCTCACGTTGGGAAGCTGATGAGGTAGTATACCCCAGGCGTCTGCAATGGATAAATAATCGCGAAGTGATACACTGTGATAGTCGAACGTAACCGAGGAGAAAGTAACAGATATAGGAGACGAACTAATAGAGAGAAAAGGAAATAGGAAAAATACATCAAGTCGAGGAAAGAGGGGAAAAGAGGCAGAGAGTAAAAATGACATAAAGAGAGCGAGAGACAGAAAGGGGGCGAGCGAACAAGAGAGAGGTATGCTGAAAGAGTGCGAGAGAGAAAGAGAGGGAAAGAAAGAGAAAGAACGAGAGAGAGAGAGAGAGAGAGAGAGAGAGAGAGAGAGAGAGAGAGAGA